TTTTAACCAATATATTCCCTGCTAACAGAGAGGTCATGGGAAGTCCAAGTGTTCTTCGTTTCCGTGGAAATGCTCTCTGTGTTAAAACGGAGTCTACAGGTGGATGAAGAATAAGGCTCCCTGACAGCCTCACACCACCTCATTCTCTTGTGGCTGAACAAGCAGGGCTTTCAGCAGAAGGGTGGGGTTGGTATGCTTAGAGAACGGCCCCTTAAAAGTCACATTCCGTGCAGATCAGAGCTGATGCAGATCTTCCGTCATGGTCTCCGTGAGTGAGACAGATCATTATTATTCATTTTCAGCATCATATGCAATGGGCAGGTAAGACAACAAGACCAAGAAACTGTATTCCTCCAAGCCCTTTACAAGGTGACTGCAGGATCATAGGGCTTAGTGAAGTCCTCCTGTGTGTCTTTTGACTTTCAGAAAAGCACATTCAGTTGTTTATTTACCTACTGATATGCTAGGGGTTGAACCCAGGGCCCTCCCTGTACCATTCCGCCAGACCACACACCATTTCTGGAAAAAAACATTTTTTAAGCTACTGAAATTAAAGTGAAATGTTCTGTTGTCCATAAGAGACTCTTTTTTTTTTTTTTTTTTTTTTTTAAATTTCCTCTGGTCCAGAGCCATCTCAAAGAGGATTTCTTAGTTCCATCATAACTCTTACAGAAGATGGTGGGAAGGTGGACTCTGGCTCTTAGGGACTGGGGGACGGAGAAGAGAAAAAAGATTATCTTTTTTATCATCAGTGTACTTTGTCTGAAGTTTCAGAGTTCAAGCTGAAGAGTGGGTTGCAAGTAGTCTAGAGGCCATGATACCCGCCATTGTTGCCTCAATGCCATTTACCTGTGTGTGTTCCTCACTTCTGTGCCCATTAGATGCCAACTTTATTGCTTATTGGTTCTTCCTTATAGTGATAGACAATGCCTAGCAACACCACAGAAACTCTCAACCCATGAGTCATCATTAATACATCAAACCATTTCTCTCTCTCTGTGCTCAACTGCACGAATCTAGCTGTGATTACAAATCAGTCAATGCTGTCATAGTCGATAAAATCTGATCATCCGAGCTCCAGACTTCAATTGGCCACCCTCTTCCTGGCAGGGGACAGAAGGCTTAGGGATGTCAGCGCAAGTCAGACTTCAGAATCTAGCAGAAATCCTCAAGAGTGGTTTTTCTATCACCTCTAATATTCTGAACAACTGTTCCCCCGGGCAATGACAATTGCAGATTGGATCTGTGTGTTCTCAAACACCCTTTGCTGTCTACAATTGTACAAAAAGCCTCCACAAGGTGGGTCAAGAAAATATCATCCTTTGTGGACAAAGATAATTGTAAGTGACAACCATGAATTCTCGTTCAATAGATGTTTCTGTGATGAAGAAAATATCCTGTGTTGTTCAACATGGTGGCTGCCAGCTACGGGACTCTTGAAAAGTCGTGATTGCAACAGAAGATCTGAGCTTCTCATTTTATTTAAGTGTGAAGAAAAGGATCTAAAGCAGCTATGCATCACTAGGGTCGACCATACTGCACAGGAAAATTCTCCAGGGTACTTCTATACAAGGTATCCAGCCCATTTCTAATGGCAAATTAGTGTCTTAATTCAAATATTGGATATTCTCTTTTGTCATGAGGGGCAGGGAGATGGCAGAACCAGTGGAAGCCCTTGCTGGTCACCCCTGATGACCTCAGCTCCATAGTTAGGTCCAATGGCGGAAGAAGAATACCTGTTCTCAAAAGTTATCCTCTGATCCCCCGACAAGTGTTGTGATGTGTACATACACACACACACACACACACACACACACACACACACACACACACACACACACACTTAAAAAGAGATGAAATCAACTAAAAAGTTTTTAAATGTGTGCTATGAAAAATTAATTTGGAAACCTGGAGATGTGGCATGCTTTGGAGATGTGTGTGTGTGTGTGTGTGTGTGTGTGTGTGTGTGTGTGTGTGTGTGTGACAGTGAAGGGTTTAAACTTTCCCACTTCTACAACTGAATTTAAGTTTCTGTTCTCTGAGAGGGGCAGACAGATGTCTCTCCCAACAGAGGGCCATTTATCAACAAACTACATTCAGGGAGGAGGGAGAGAGCAGGAACAGGGCCTGCATCAGCCCCACAGTGTCTCAAGGACAGTTCCTGCAACCTCTTTGAGACTTACCCAAGTATGTCCAAAGATAAAACCTCAGCCAATTAAAAGATGACTAATGTAACTGCTGCCTGCTTGACCAATTATTTTTGAGATGACCTAACCGTCCTTGAAATTCCCCTTAGCTGTGCTTAAAAGGAGCCTGCTGCTCCTCCCTGGGTCATTGCCATTTTGTACAGGTGAACAACTCCGCATATGCTGGTAAATAAACACTCTTTGCTGGAAAACAAACGCCCTTTGCTCTTGCATACTATTTGAATCTGGGGTCTTCCTTCAGCGTTTTCTCGGACCCCTACAACAGGTGAGACATAATAAACAGGTGATTGCTGTTTGACTGTGACATGGCCCCAGAGGCTCCGAGTTTAACCTAGAGGGTGACTATTTTGGAAGGCTATGGCATCTTCAGTAGAGCCTCACTAGAGAAAGTGAGTCCCTGGAGCCAGGCCTTGAGGTACGGCAGCCTGGTTCCACTTCCTGTCTTTGATGCCTCCTGATTGTGGATTCCATAGGACCAGTCACCCCAAACTCCTGCTGCTCTGCGTTCCTGCCTGGATTCACAGGGTCCCTTAAACTGTCAGCTCTAAAAATTCCTTCTTCCCCCAAGTTGCTTTCTGACAGGCCACAGCAACGAGGAGAGTAACTAGTCAAGTGGTATGACAAAATCACAGAATTTGAAAGAGCGGATTGGTCATGTGGACTTGCTCACACAATCTAGATGTGATTCTTTTTGTAGCTATTCATCACACACAAACACACTGAGTCAGTAAGTTGTGACATTCTGTCTTTCAGAGCAGAAGCTCCTGTCTTCTGTCATTATGGTTCTGCATCATCTGGCACCCAGAAAACATTCAAAGTCCCTTTTTTCTTTAAAAAAAAAATAGTAGTTTATCAGGTCTCATGTTTATAGGGAGCAGCACATGGAATCTGCTGAGGGACAGAGGTAAACAGCAAAAGGGAAGAGGGGTTCCTACAGAGCCCTTGCACTTTCTGCATCAGGCTTGCTCCCACCTTACCAACCCACTGACATTTCATAATGGCACCTTGAATCCCTCATGTTCCCTTTTTACTCTCCTTTGTAGGCAGGTTTCCGGTCATGCAGTCACTCTCAAATAATCAGTCAGAGGCTTAATATTAATTATAAATGCTTGGCCAATAGCTCAGGCTTATTACTAACTAGCTGTTACATTCTAACTTAACCCATATTCCTTATTTATGCTCTCCATGTGGTGGTACCTTTTTTAACATGCCACATTCATTTTCTGCTCCCTCTGCATCTGGCTAGAGACTCCAGTCTCTGCCCTTCATCCTCCCAGCATTCTCCTAGTCTGCCTCTCCAGCTTAACCTTATTCTGTTCAGCTGTTGGCTAGTCAGCTTCTTTATTAAACCAATCACAGCAGCATATATCCACACAGTGTAAAGGAATATTCCACAGTGCTTTTTGTATTTTCAGAACACATTATTCGACATGAAGCATCCCAATATAGTTGGATGCCTGTGTCACTTTCTCATTCTCTGAAATAAGGTTAGAATACTGGGATATTTGAGGTTCTGGGTTTTGACTCCTAAAGCACCTCTCTTACCTACATCCACCCAACTGAATGTTGGGTGGTATGTTCTCAAATCTTAATTTCACTTATTATTAGTCTTTATTCCAACTCCACCAATAGGTTTGCCCTATGTATGCATTGCTCATTGTTGAACTCCATAACTCAACTCAACAACAGGAGCTTGTTTTCTGCTAAACTCTTTCATTTAGTTCGGTCCGTGGGCAGCAGCGTCTTAGAACGCTTCTCTCCACTGAACGCCCTTAACTTGCTCTTACTCCCCAGTATCTACTTTTATGTCTGAGGTTTGGCAGAGCATTAAACTGAGGTTTCAATGATTTTCAACCTGGGCCCAGAAACATCTCCCAGCTCTTCCTACTGTCCCTGCTGTGGAGAAGCTGCTGCTGTGGCCTTCACTTCTGTAGAGAATCTTTCCTGATACCCCAGTAGATTTTGTCATCCTTTTCTGCATCATTGTTGTGTGCTTCTGGTACTTTGAGCAAGGCTTTCTTTATATTTCTTTTTTCTCTTGGCATTCAGGGAGCACTGCCAATTTCAAGACCCCCGTTAGTTTTCGTTCTCTTAATTCTAGGAAGTCCTCAGCCTTCTTTTCCCTAGCTCTGTGTCTTTAATATTCCCCCTGTTATTTGCTTCTACAAATAGCATCAGAGGATGATGCTTTTGGATGGCGGCTACAGATGTTTAGGGTTTTCATTTCAGCTTTTCATCTCATGCTACATTGGAAATAGTTCTTCAGCCCAGTCTCCCAAATGGTTGATTTGCTTGTCAGCTGTTAGGGCCATTTCCTGAGATTTTAAGATGCTGAACTATAATCTGAGGCTCATGACACATTGGTATCATTGTTTCAGCAAATTTCAATTCTCCATTTTGCTCACTTGTTTTCATGGGACTATAAACACCCATGAACATGCTCTTGAGAGCAATAACCAGACATACGTATCACCTCATACAAGCCTACGTGTTTCTCCTTTATTTTGTGTGTGTTCCTTCTGCTTGCTTGTCTTAAACTTTGTGCTTATTTTTAATTTGCTTTTGGAAACTTCCCTCACATTGATATATGTCTAAAATAAATGGCTTATTTTAATGAATTTTATAATTTACCTAAAGAAAATGTAATCTCCAGGGACTTCATATTTTCAATTACTATTAGCATTTTGAATTTATCCAGATTGCTTATCTGTAGGCTCTTCATTTTTCTACTGCATGTCTACTGGATGATTTTTAAAATATGTCGACTTCATTACTTATTAATCCACACTCAGGTTAATGACATTCAGCTTATTCTATTTTAAAAAAAAAATAAGCATTCAACTCAGAGCACATTGAAGAGAGAAGGCTTTAGTACACAGTCCTAGAGGTCAAGTCAATTGTTTGAAGGGCTTGAGAGGGACCGTGGAGACTGTTGTCTTTTGCAGAATTCTCGGGGTACAGAAAGCACAGGGATGACATGGTCAGTGGTGAAGTGCCCTTTTACTTTCAGGAAAATTGTCAGAGCCCCATTTTCTGTTCCCTGTGCTCCCTGCTCAGTTGGCAGCCATGGCTGGAGCTGGACTTGCTTCACTGTTTTTCTTTCTGAACTTCCTGTGGGTATCATGCAATCCATGTTGCTGGCTAGACATCTGGAAAACACAGTGTTCTGTTATTTTTCCACATAGACGTGAGTCTGGAAGAGAGTAGCTAAGGGTCTGCAATCTAGTAGAGCTATTTAGGGCTCCTCCTGAGCACGTGGCACCTGTAGGTCAGGGGCCAGTGAACATTGAATCCAACCACTATATGGTGATTATCATTCTTTTCTGATATTCATTCTGAAGTATCCAGAACTCCATGACACCACATTTCATATCACAGAAGACTCAAGTTTTGCCAGTCACATGGGTATGGACAGTTAGATACCCCGGTGCAGGCTTCCTTTGCATTTCCCAGTTGCTGATGCGGTAGACATCATTGTTTGATGTATTTATTTCCCATGAACTCTATCTTATAACCAGTTTGTTGTTGTTTTGAGATAAGTTCTTACTTTGTAGCCCAGACTGGCCAGCAAACTTGCTATATAGCCTAGGCTGGCCTCATCGTCATACTCTTTCCTAGGCATCCTAAGTGCTGAGGTTACAGGCATGAACCACCAGGCTCTGACCAATTTAAAAATTTTTTAATATTTTTCTATTGTTTTTTTCATTATTATATTAATCATTATAAGGACAGAATAGCTTGTATTAGATAAACATGTCCATGAACAGTTAGTTTTTATATAATGGGCAAAACCAATCAAAAAAAAATTTCAATGCCTCTACAGCTTGTTAGAAAGCACCTGAAAAGTTAGAAAACAAAGGTAAACTGGCTCAGACACATGACTTGAAAGTAACTAACTACTCTGGGTGAGACCCTTTTTTATGGTTATTTTTCTTCCAAAATTCTCCTCCACTCACACTACAGAGCAATGTCAGAGTCCCTGAAGAAATCAATGGTCTTACTGAATAAGACGTCAAAGACAAGAGTTAGGCACTGCCTAAATGCCTGGCAGTTGAGAGTGTGAAGTCAGAGAAAGAGGAAACACAGTGGAGGGAAAAGCCCAAACATGTACACAAGCTTCTAGAAATTCTTGGCAGAGTCTTGCACTGCACATACACATAGCAAAAATAGCTAAAGAAATCAATGGCAGGGATGAGCATTTACTTGTCTGGATTATATCACCCTGCTCCAGGATGGAATGTACCAGTTCAGAGGAAACAGCTGCAGAACACAGAGCCTCATTGGATCCCACTCTTTACCTCAGGCTGACCTTGAATTCTGGTCTCACAGCAGCCCTCCTGCCTCAGCCTCCCCAGGGCTGGAATTACAGCTTGTTTTGAATGTTGAGTCATTGTTGGAATGACTTTCCACCCACAAAAATCCAACAGGAATGCAGTCTTGATTTTTCTCAGCAGTTTAAATATTTACACCCCGAATTCGGCCAGAGGTCATTATTGTAAATTGTATGAGCTACAGGTCCAATTTTGGTTTGGTTGAAATGACTATCTACTTGTCAGAGAACTATTTCAAAACACCCATTTTACCCACAGTAATTCAAGTGAGACGTGGGTTAGACACTTTCCATGGGCCTTCAGACTTCTTAGACTTCCTGTTGTATTCACCCATTTATCTGCCCATGTGTGTGTTGGTACTGCAATGACTTAGTGGGTTTTGTTTTTTTTAATAGTCATTCTTCCTGGCTTCTTTTCCTGGCTATTTTTACATGTTCTGTTTTCCCACACAAGCTTTAGTTCAACTTGTCTAACTACCTACAATTGCTCTTTAGTATTTTTGTGAAGATTGCATCAAGCTGATCGGTTAACACAGAAGAAATGCACATCTTTACAGGGCTGAGTTTGTCACACTAGCTTGTGCCTTTCAGAATGATTAAAAGTTGCCATTATCTAGGCATTTGCACATTCTTGTTTAACACAATCTTAAGACAGTTTTCACTGCCATGGTTTCCACTCTGTGTCTTGTAGTTCAGAGATGCTTGTACAGCTGCTTTCAATGTTGCATTGTCTATAGCCATGTCAGAGACTAGCCTGGGTGCCCATCAACAAGAGAATGGACACGAAGGTGGTCCTCACAGGAGAGCACTATTCAGTTATAAAGAAGGAGAGTCTGTCATGCTTAGGGCAATGGAGGAAGAGGGTCTCATCATAATAAGCATGATCCAGTCTGAGAAAGACGAATACCAATAAAGGAAGGCTGGTAGACGCCAAATTCTGTAAGGCTGTAAGCCGGAGCCAGCTGCCTTAGTCACCCTCTTTCTTTGAAAGATGCAAACTTGACTCAGAGATTTCTAGGGCTTCTTCTCCCACTTCAGGTTCAGGGTGAGAGAGCTTGTTTCATTTTTGCTTTTAATGGTTGGAACTCTTTGTGTGTGTGTGTGTGTGTGTGTGTGTGTGTGTGTGTGTGTGTGTGTGTGTGTTATGCACTGAATGATACAACCCAGCAGAGGGACCTTAGAGAACCATTGGATGGTGTCTCCACCCAACAGGCTTTGAGGTTAAAGCATTTGACTTGGAAGGATTATTCTCAAGCCCTAGGACCTGGTGGAATTTGCTTTGCCAGATTTGGGACTTCTTTAAGCCTCCCAGTCTCAGGTATTTTGTTATGGTATCCTGAGCAGAGTAATACAAACAACAAGGGCATTGTTTTTTGTGGAAAAAGTTATAGTTATTTAGTCAGTTCATTCTGTTTTGGGAAAGGGATGGGGAGAGAGAATGGTTACTACACAGATGCCATTATCTTTAACTATAGAATAACTATGACACCTAATCAACTCAATGCTTTATTTCTGGATCTACTTGTCTTGATTCCTGATGTGTTTGTACTTCTCCAGTGAGTTTCTGGGTGTGCCATTTTACTCTCTCTTACAGTGTTTGGATTGAATACTTTGATATTTTCCCTACCATGTGTGGTGGTATTGTGTTCCCCAAAATATTGTGTACCCTAATAAACTTATCTGGGGTCAGAGAGCAGAAAAACCACTAGATACTTAGGATAGGCAGTGGTAGCACACACCTTTAATCCTAGCATTCCAGAGGCAGAAATCCATGAGTTCAAGGATACAGCCAAGCATGGTGACTCACACTTTTAATCCCAGAAAGCGAGCCTTTAATCCCAGGGAGTGGTGGCAGAAAGCAGAAAGGTATATAAGGCATGAAGACCAGGAACAAGAAGCTTTTAGCTGGTTAAGCTTCAGGCTTTCCAGCAGCAGTTCAGCTGAGAGCCATTGGGATGAGGACACAGAGGCTTCCAGTCTGAGGAAACAGGACCAGCTGAGAAGTTGGCCAGGTGAGGTTAGCTGTGGCTTGTTCTGTCTCTCTGATCTTCCAGTGTTCACCCCAATACTTGGCTCTGGGTGTGTTTTATTAATAAAGACTCTTTAAGATTCCTGCTACAACCATGCTCATTCAACTTTATATATTCTCTTATTGATGACAACTGTGATGTTTAGTGTGTGTGCTTCCGTAACAAAAGGTGACATTAGCGGTGTCATCACCCTCAGTCTAAACAGCCCATGACCTTGTTCTTTCTCTGACTGAACTCAACACTTTATTTATTTGGTCAGTGGTGTCATGTAGTGATACTAATGTATGCGCTAGAGAATTTTATTTTATTTTTCACTTATTGCTAGAGACATGTTCTACTTACTGGATCTCTAGATCAATGATTTTGGTTTTATAGTTCTGCAAAGTTAAGTAGTACGTTTCCTCCATTTCTTTTGTCTACACAACATCAAATTTTCTTATATTGTGTCCAGTGGTTCCATTTGGGATCCTGTGACCAAATGTGGGAATCATGGAAGCTTTAGCAACAGAAAGAGGTATCTGAATGTGTAATGATGAGAAATTAACAATCAAATGGGAAATAAATGTGGGCTGTTTCTGGCAGTGTGCAGCTGTGTGGCTTGGTAGCAGTAGCTTGCACAATGCATATGTATGTGCAGTGTATTCACAACCAAGGATGCAGTAATACATTGTGTGTGGTGTGATGCCATGCACACTACATCCTTGGTTGCGAATACACAACATGCACACTTTGCACTGTGCATGCTATCATACCACACAGGGCCAATTAACATGGCCACAAACACCCCAACTCAAATTTGAGACTACTGTACATTATTAAATAATTAAAACCTACAGTGTTTTACTGTACATACAAAGTTTTCTGCTTCTATAGAAACATCATGATTTAGTTGTGGGAACCAAAAACTTTTAATATTTTCCTACTACCACCCCTCACCATGTGACTATCAAATTAGTACATATTTGGCTTGTATTGTATTAGACAGACAAGCACTTCCATTTCACTAGTGTGTGAATTTGCTTTCATGTTTAATAAATGGCAATATTGTGTGCCTTCCAAAGGATTGTTTTTATTATAAATGTATTAATTTATAATAAGATACTTGGTTTATATACCTACTTTATACGTACCTTTGGGGTTCATTTGGGCAAAAGAGTCACAAGTAGAAAAAGTTTCAGAAGCTCTGAACTATAGGGATCTCCAAGCTGACCTCCTCTGGTCCTTACTAGGAGCTGACCTCTGTGGTCTTTACTTTGTTACCTTTTCTCATCTCCTCAGTTCTTCCCACTGGACTGTGAGTAGCTTCTGGACCCACCCCCTTTCACCCGTCCTCCCTGGACTGTGTCAAAACTGGTATTTAAGCCATCCATAGAATTTTTGATTTCTACAGATGGACTTTCATTTCTAAAAGCCTGTTTCCTCCACATTTTTTCTACTCTCAATAATTTCTTAATGAATGTTTCGCCTTATATTGAGTATTTTTCATTTAAAATCATCTCATGTAGCCATGACATATATCCCACAAATCAAACATCTGCAGTTTTTGTGAGTCTAAATCTGTTGTCTCTTATTTATGCGTACTGATGCTAATAGCAGTGATTTTGCTAATTTTGTTTGTGTGTTGATTACTTGATCTTAATCATGGCGATTCCTCCAGGACTGATGTGTTTACTGAATCCTCTGTGACTCTCTCTCCTTAAACCTCTGAGTTTAGTCCATTTGCTTAGCCTGATTATTGCCTTGCTGGACTTTTTCTAGTAAGTTCTACTTACCTCGCATTTCTTTTTACTTGCAATTTTTTTGATTGAGTGTTTTTTGTTATTGTTATTCTGTTTGACTTAATTTGTTTGCTTGCACTCAAATCTACGTGATCTCCATCTATATATTAGTGTTCAAGGACCTTTCACCATTCCAGATAATGTCACAAAAATGTAAGAAAAATCAACATCTTCATTTATATCTGAAGAAAAGTGGTACCTGGACTTTAAAGGAGTTTATCTGGGGCTGCCTTGCCCCTGGCTCCCTACTGAAGACTTCGGACTCCATCATCTGCCTCCCTGTTGGCTCCTCAGTGTTCCCATCTGTTCTCGGTCAGTGCAGCCCTTCAGTGTCGCAGGTCCTGGCCTAACTCTTCATGTATCCCTAACCCAACTCTTCACCTCTCCCACCTCACATGAGAAAATTTAACTCCCGTGTTTTAAACAGTATTTATCAGTATTTCTCCGAAGTCTTCCCGGAAGAACTTACATTTTGTGTAGCCAACTGTATCTCCAAGAATTATTTTGAAAGGGCGAATCCTCCAATGTAGTGACCATTCACGATGGCTTGCTTGTGAACCTTTGAACTTTTCCCCAATAATTACTTTTCTCCTATTTAAGATGTTAACTAGTTTTTAACTGCCACGCTTATTTAATAAGCTATTATTGTCTTTTCAAATGTGTATGTATCTAATGAACCCTTCTTAGCTACAACTTTGTTGTTTAGTTTTGTCGGGTGCTTGAGAACTCTAGGAAGTGGAGAATGGAGCAACAACCATGCCTACATGTAGCCAGTGCCACAGTAAGGGAGAAGGATGGCTAGGACCTGGAGTCTTTATCTGTCAGCATCACTCAAAGGCATTGTTTTCCTTGTTTGCCAAAGAGCAAGTAAGTATTTCAGTCTTTCCTTAGTCTGGCCTCAGATACTAAATATGTGTACAAAACCCCATTTAAATCACTCAATTATTTCTAGTCTTATGAATCTAACCCTCACAGGCTAGATTCCCAAGTGATTGGTGTCTTTCTGATGTCATTTCACTAAGGAAGAAATCTTTGCTCATGGTGGATTTGAGTGATCTTCAAAGGAAATCACTTCTAGAAACTTCAACTCAAAACTCAAAGATTTCAAGTTCAAGTAATTCTTCTGGGATAAACTACATGGTGTGTGTCTGTAAACACACACACACACACACACACACACACACACACACACACTTCATCATGC